GGAATGCCTATTTTGAAAAAGTATGAACTTCATATCAGGCATTTTGCTCTGTGTATTACCATAGGACAGAGAAATATAACAAGTACCAAGGCAGCAATGGAAGAACACAGAAAGGCAGGTTGATCAGGCACCTTTGGTTTAAGATTTTGTGTGGAAGTTCTTACAATTTTGAACCTGTGGTAGGACCACATTACTAGCTTAGTCTCAAGTTACAACCAAAACACACTACAACATGCCATCATTCCTGTTACTTGTGTACCCGGTAACAACAGACCCTTTGCCAGTTCAGGATGCTCGCTCGAACAAGGAGTCATATGTTGGATTTATGTACAAGGCTTATGGCAGCGTATAAAACAGCCCAGACTAATGATCCATTACATGAAATGTTGTATTCAAAAGTTTGTCTGTCTTACTTTTACTAACCTATAAGCGACAGGACTTAAGAATTACGTTAAATCCTGGTCAAGGCCTCCTTTTTAATTGTTAACCTAAATATATGTTGAGCTGCCCAAGAGTCCTCTTCTAAGATGGTGTGTTCAGGTATTTATTCTCTCCAGCCAGTGAGGTAAGCATGGACGTCATGTCACCGACAGCCATGTTGGACAGGCCAGAGCCTGCAGGTAGGCTGATTGATGTTTGAGGGGTGGTGAGGCAGGAAGAGGCCTGGGAGGAAGACCCTAGCTGACCCTGGAGGGGATTATTGACTGGGCTGAATGAAGAAGACTCAGCATCATCGATGATGGAGGTGAAGTCTATGCGGGCATTGTCTAGGTCCAGGTTTTCTAAGGCATTAGAGATGGGGCCAGAATCAGGATTGGGAGCCATGGAGTCAGACTTATTGCCACCTGTTGGGTCTAGGTTGGATGCCATACTATGCTGCTGTTTGATACAAGGCCCATTTTGGGAGGCCATATATTTCTCCATAGCCATATTGATCTGACCAGAGTAGTAAATATTGTTGTTATTAGAAGGAGAAAGCATTTCGTTTTGCGGGTGTTGTGGATGCTGGACTGGAGGCAGTCTGACCCCTCGTCTGGGGCTGGAAATAGAGTGGACAGGGCTGAGGTGGTCTGGGCTGCCCAGGTAGCCTCCTCCCACCTGTGAAAGGCTGTTCTGGCGGCTGAGAGGTTTTGGTCCCTGAGGAGGCCTGGGGACCACCATCTCCTGGCCATAGCATGAGCTTTGAAGACCTGTCAGCTGCTGGTCTTTAGGTGTCACAGAGCTGGGCCCTCGGCAGTGGGTTGGAGTGCTTGTAACCAGGTTCTGGTTTGGGTAAGAAAGATAGGGCTGGCTGGAGTGAAGATTCTGGTTTTGGTGCTGTGGACTGTGCTGTATCAGTGCTGTCTGGCCACTCATATCCACATTGTCAGAAGGAGGAGGAGGTTTAATTCCACTCTGCTGTTGCTGTTCTTGTTGCTGCTCCCACATGAGTGCTTGCTGGGACTGTACATAATTTCTCACCATCATCTCCTTTGCCTGTATCCAGCCTGAATTCCAACCACCCCCTCTGGGGAAAGAGGTTTGGTTCTGTCCTTGAAAGTCACAGCTGGGATTATTAGAGCTCCTTGTCATAACCTGACCTACATGTTGTGGGTAATCTTGAGTCTGCTGGAGGAGCATACGCTGCTGTTGGAGCTTTGTACTTTGACAGGCATTTCCACCTCCCATCCCAGGGTGGAACTGCTGCTCAGGCTTGATGATGAGCTTATGTGTTCCATCAGGACTATTATAAAGACCTGTCTGATTGCTGAAGTGGGCCTGTGTCTGTTGAGGCTGCAGGCTGGGATCTGAGTATTGCATTCCCTGTTGGTTCTGGAGAGCACGGCTAGAAGTCTGGACTTGGCAGTGGGTGTCACTCCATGGGCTTCCAGTATCACCACCATGGCCTATGTTAGGATAATGGGGGCCTGAGGGACTCAGCTGGCAGGTGCTCATACTGTACTCAGCCTGCTGGAGAAGGGTAGTACATGTGCCCTCTGGCTGAACAGACCGTGACTGGCCCATTGGATTTCCACCAGCCCTAGAATTGACTTCCTCTCCTTGGTTCTGGTAGTGTCCTTGCATATAACTCTGGTCTGGACAGCCCAGAGAGTCATGGTTTGGGGACAGCTGATTTGAAAGAGGACCTCCACCTCCAACTCCTGCAAGATTTTGATGCTGTTGCTGGTATCCTGTGAAGCTTCTTTCTCCACAGGACATCATCATGGCTCGATCCCTGGCATGAACAGGGGCAAGGTGGGGTTCCATACTTATAGCCTCCATCATTACATTCTCTGTAATGCTAGGCGGTCGGGGGGAGTAAATGTGTCGGGTAAGACTGGTGTCAGAGCCACGGTGTAGTGCATTCCTTCTGCCCATCATAGCTACATTATTAAGGCTATTGAAGCGTTTTGGGAGAGCTTGTGGATCTGCTGCTGAATGAACTGGGTCACTGGCTCTTCTGCTGCTATTACCTGGAACTTGGTGAGGGTACATAACACCAGTGCCATACTCTGTGTTGGCACTGTGTCTACGTGGGCCACCTAGTTGAAGGAAAGGAGGCAGCGGCTGACCCTGGAGCTCACTCAAAACACCTCCTCTTCTGCCTGGAGTTCCCGGCTGCTCCATATTGGGTAAAGGAGTAGGTGGTGGCCCACCAGTTGCTGCAGCATATTTGGCCTTTAAACTGTATTGCTGGGCTGGTGTTAAATTAGGAAGACCTGGCAATCCTCCCCCTCCAGAACATGAAGCTGCTCTGCGATTGGTCTCAGGAGAGAGGGGGTCTCCCCCACTCTGCTCTGGGCCAACAAAGTGACATCCTCCCCTTCCTGTTCCTCCCATTTGCGAGACCTCACTGGAGCGCCGACTGGACAGGTAAGGGGACACCATGGAGGAGCGACGGCTGACAGTATATGCAGAGCTCAGGCTGCTGGTGCCACTGCCTCTTCTGTCATTAGTAGCGCATCCACCTCCTAACTCATGGTTGGCCAACTCCATAACACGGCGATTTGATAGGAGCGGAGAAGGTGTACACATTCCCATATTCTCCCCTGAACCTGAAAATGTACAACCAAGAAGAACATCCTTAGAGATGGGTTCATTACGATCTTACACATATTTATTTTGACTTGTACAGCCACAAGTCCTTAGAGATAGTTCATTACGATCTTACAAATATTTATTTTGACTTGTACAGCCACAAGAAAACTGTTTGCAATTTCCTGGTTTTCTGCATAAATTGGTCATGAAATGTGATCTGATCTTCACCAAAGTCACAAATACCAACAAACACAATATTTTTAACACTGTAGCATGCAAACCCTACATGTTGGAGACACATGTCCTGTTATGCTGTAACAATGCAATTCTTGCTTCTGGCCAGCAGAATATTCTATTTTGTGCAACAATTCACACTTCAATATAAATCAATACAAACAAAGAATATGCCCATAATTATGACATTTTGATTATTTATGAATGATTTCATCGAACTTACCAGGAAGTGTAGGTAGCTTGTTGTTGACACAGCGGCTGGGAGGGCTTGGCCTATGAATTTGCTTAAGTTTGTCAATCTTCAGGTTCTCCAGCCTCTTCAAAGCCTGTGCTGACATTCCCATTGTTCCTCCTCCACTTACAGGCTCCCCTCCTCCGCCACCTCCTACTCCATCCTCCAGTGCTGTGAGATCCTCCAAGCTGCCCGCTGCATTTAAGTTCATCTCCACCCCACTGTCATTGTTGTTGGCGCTCCCCAGTGGAGAACGTTCACTGCTGCAGGATGATTGACCACCAGGGCTTGGCTGGGATTTCTGTAAGAAGTATTGTAATATGTTGTCATGTCTACTTGAAATTACTGACAACCATTTTCAAATGGCAGAAATGTATTTTGTACCTACTAGGCTAAAAAAATATCTATGGATACTGTTAGAAAGGCTTCGGGTTAAGAGGAACTTTGATAATGGACAGATAAAAATTGAGCTGTAATTTGAGTTTTGTAACAACTTGTACAGTGTATGCCTGTATTTTCCTTTGGTCAGCAGTACTGGTAAGAAAATTTACTACAGTTTGTTGTAAATGGAAGCAGGTCAGGTAATTCAACTATTTTCTGTTAAGCTAAATGTTATCTTCCGCCGGTGTCATTGTTGTGCACATTAAAATTCACCTTTCCATGGTAGATGGTTGAATTATCTTACTGATTAATGTGGTAGGACGGCCGAACATCCGGGTGACTGCTGTATTTTGTTTTCAATCTTATATTTTGGTTACTTGAGCATTGCTACTTTAGTGCTGAGTCAATGTAAACCAGCTACCATGTTCTGGTAGAATCCGCCAGATGTCGCTAGTACTCTTAGCTAAATTCAATCCTCAGTTATTGGGTGAACTGTACTGAAAGGACTGCTTTAAGAGATAGCTGGCGGTTTTGAGTTATTGTGTTTCCATATATCAATATATAACTTCACTTGATTATGGTATATCATCTCCATAACAATAAGTAATGTACTGTATATTTGTTACTTTGATGGAAGCAATGAGAATAACTTGCCAGTCATTGTAACTGGCAGTCTAACTTTAATTTAGTTTTTTCTTTTTGCTCTGTAGAACCACACACACACACACACACACACACACACACACACACACACACACAGCCAATAAAGTAGATGTAATTATTCAAGTCTCCAGTCTTGTGTCCTGACTGACACCCAGTGGCGAGTGTCATATTCCACCAGCTAACGATAAAACTTCTTTCCCTCACCTATAGATACAGTCCTAACTTTTAATTAATTTTCTCATTTTTAAATGATATCACAGGCTGTCAATAAAATGTACCACTCACGAGAGCGTTCTCAGGAGCCAGGAGTTTGCAGTCCTCCCTGCGTGTCTCCTCTTTCTCCAGCAGCAGTTCAGAGTTCTGACTTCCAGGGGTCATGGCTGAGCCAGGGGGTCGAGGTCCTGTGTCTCCACGATGCTTCTTGGTGATGTGGGCTTCAGGGCCGTGCACTGTCTTTACATGTTTACGCAGTGAGCTGGGATCTGTGTATCGTTTAGTGCAGCCGGGGATTTTACATACATACGGTTTCTGCAATGGTTCAAGGTGTGGGTCAGTACACAATCTTTTTTGTGTGTAGACAGTCTTGTATACCATAATTCACTTAAGTACAGGAGTGTCTCCAATGTAGTGCCTTGACATTCTAGGTCCAGTACAAATGATTGATAATGGCACTCTCTGTATAAAAGTTAACTTTTCCTTTTTAAACCTGCCATTGCCGATGTACAAAATATTTGCCAGACCCTCTATTTTAAGTAATTTAAGTAAAAAAAAAACAACATTCAGTAATTACTTGTCTGCCTCAGACAGGATAATCACAGTTTGCTACATTAGTGTTGTTGACCATGTACATAGCCAAGACAAAATCTAAATTTACATGTCAAGCTATTTAGATTAAATTACTCTATTACTTCAGTGTATACTACAGTACCTCATTGGAATGAGTTCGGTTCTGATGCTTGGCCCGGTCTGAAGCATTGGAGAAGGCCTTGTTGCAGCCTTCATGCTCACACACATATGGTTTCTCACCAGTGTGAGAGCGCAGGTGAGTCTTTAAATTTTCCAGGCGCGAATAGGCCTTGTTGCAGCCTTCAAACTAAAACAGAAATATGTTTTTTTAAGTCAAGTTGCAATACCTTTAAATAGTCTTAAATAATAGAGGATCCACTCACAGTGCACTTGTGTGGCTTCTCTCCGGTGTGTCTGCGCATATGAACCACCAACATGTACTGGGCTTTGACAGGCCTCTGTTCTCGAGAGCATTCCTGACAGTGACACACAAACTCCTTCTTCTCTCCATGGATGTGCTCATTGTTGATGTGCTGCAGAGTAAACAGATAAAGAAGGAGGCAGTAATCAATGTGATATACTAAAATGCTAATGCAAACGAGTATTAAGTAGGATTTGAAAATGTAGCCTTGGATTTGCTCAAGACCACCCTGTTTTTCCTTTGTTTGTTTCCCCAGTGTACGGTGTCTTTAGATCAATATTTCTTACATGAACTAGCTGGTCTTGTGTGTCAAATTCTTTGTTACAGCTTTCCCAATGACAGTTTGTTTCATAGATGGCCTCTGGTTCAGGTTTCCCATCCTCTTTGTCCAAGTCATCTCTGCCATCAAGTAGACCCAGGAGAGGGTCCTGATGAAACATATGTGCACAAACCAAAACATTTGTTTCTGAAGTTTAAATGAAATCTATACATACTTTGTACATTTGTACTGTATTACATATCAGATATCAGCAGGTTATATACTGGTGATATGATGGAGGTTCACTCCACCTATAGTTACAGCTTCTTAGTTCCATTTCATTTTGACAAAAAAGCTTTTCTTTTCCTGCATGAGTATCTGATAAATCTAAGGCTGAAAACTAAAATATAAATGTGTGAAAAGAGAAACAACTTGCAAAAGAATAAGAAAGTTACTGTACCTGAGTGCCAGTGGAAGAAGGACTTGCCACATCTCCCTCTGACCTCTCCTCCATGCTCTTCACATTCATGCCATTCATCACACCTCCCAGCCCCGGCTCTGTTTTCAGCTACAAAGCAATACACACATGCTGTACTACATCTGCCTCGCACAGTCTGTTTCTGTCTCTCAGTCATTCACATTCATTCAAGTAATATAGATTTTATCGGTATCACATTCCCATCACTTATCCATCCTCTCGCAGGTTTGTAAAGTTCGAGAGGGCGCTGTCTTACATGTCCATGCTTGGACGGAGCGTGGAGCCGTGGATGGTGTGGAGGTAGACGGGACGCTTGGCAGGGACCTGATGTGTGTCCACCCAGAGGTGTCCCCCCACCTCCACTGTACATGGAGCCTTGTTGCCTGGATGGGCAGTTCATGTTGCTGGAATAACCCAGAGATGGACTGTGAGGTAAGAGAAAAAAACCAACATCACAGCTTTAGGAGAACAAAAACTCACGGAACCAGTGAGGTATTCAGAACGATCAAAATGTCTACAACCAGTTTGCTGAAATGTTAAAATGTGTAAGTGCATGCAAAACTTTTCCATGTACAGAGGAACATTTGATTACTCAAAACAGTGGTATTGCAGCCTTTTCTCATCATTTGCCTTTATATAACTGATTTGCCTTGATGGACAAGTCTGCCTGTGGGTACCTCTCTCACCCATTTTGCTGCAGCTTTCAGGTTAGGACAACATGTATGGTTGAAACAGGTGAAATCTAATAATTATACTCTTCATTCACAGAACCTACATTTGATGGCTATAACCAGAGTTCAGAGTAGAAGAGCTTTTGCATATGCAGCTTCTTTTATGTTAAACGCTCTAAAAATGAACTAAAACTTCAGTTTGTTGTTTTTCTGAGAAAATTTAAATCTATGCTAAAAGAGTGTTTTTCACTTATTTGTAATTGTTAGACTTTGCTGTTGGGTTTAGTGTATTCTGTGCCCGTACTGTATTTTATTGTAATTTTATCGTAATATATAGAACAGAGAAATATCTGACCTCATGGCGCTCACAGAGAGATGACCATAGGAGCTAGCACCATTGGGGTTGCAGCGGGAGTTGACAAAGGCCACCAAGGAGTTGGGTGATGTCCGGATGACTGTCTGCAGATCTACGCTGGCATCAGACAGAGGAGAGATGGACAGCGCTCTCTTTTTACTCAGCTTTAGCATAGAGTGGGGTGTGGAGAACCTCGAGCCTAAGGGGGCAGAGGATGACAAAAACAGGAAGGTTAACTTTGCAAAAGGTGTATTTAAATTTTAATTCTGTCAGGACACACCACTTCCGCAGTAATATGTGAGTGTTCCTTACCATCACCTGACCCGATCTGATCGGAGCCAGGCTGAACTTGGCAGAAGTTATTGTGAGATGACAGCATGTTGTTCTGGTTACAGTAGGGGGTGCTATTACCACCTGCAAGGCATTAAGAACAGAGAGCAGCATTAACATTTCTCAATATGAGAGCCAGTGTAGACATAAAAGCCAGACTGTAACAGTAATTAGATGGCATATTTATATTTCCTATTCACTAACATATTTGATCTTTAAAAGGTCTGTTTTTTTTCTCCAGTTTACCACAGGTTACTGCAGTAAATCTGATCAATCAGGCTTGTCTCAGCAGTACAATCAGCTTCCAGTTGTTTGCTGACCTTTCTACTGTAGAAAACCAGGTGGTTTCTGTTTGCTGCTCAGTCTCAGGTTATCTGTAAGCCCAAATCAGTACCAGCTGTTAAATTAAAGAGATGTAAAAGATACTCTGACTCACCCTCTGTGGGCAGCATGCTCCTGTGGCCCATCATACTATGTGGAGGGGGGGCCTGAGGGGGCCTCATATATTGATCCATGCAGTGGCCAAGCCCCTGTCCTGGTCCTGGTCCATGAGTCATACAGGGAGTGACGGGATTAAACATAGCGCGGCAGTCCTGGGAAGAGCCGTTGAGGAGTGGGGCACGCAGTGAAGACACATCACTGTAGAGAGACTGTTCTGATGGGACTAGGCTGCAAATGTCAAAGAAACACAGTTATGAAAATAACCTCAAAGTAGTGAGAAAAGTGGCCACTGCAAAAAGTCTTCATGGCAGCTGTAAACATTTTAGAATATAGTGCATTTGTCAAAGTATCAGAAAAGCAGTAAATGTCCAGCACGTGCATCTTGTTTGTCTTGCAACTGTGATTTCTTGCAGCATTACTCGAATTTTCTTTTATTCCTGATGAAGAGCCAGTTTGGACTCAGTGTTGTACTTTTTCTAATATATTTAAATTCATTCAACAGTGTTGCAAGTAACTGATAGTTATTGGGGTCAAAAGCAGCTAAATATAATTGTTGTCAAAATAAAAATAAAAAAACCCAGACTCCCTCATCCCCACTCTAATCCACTGTAATGTCTCTGTCTCACCACTAGATGGTGTATAGCCCATTTGTAAGTCTATTTTATGGAATTTTACTCATCTGGGTTTTCCCCCTTTCAAACTAGAGAAGTGAAGCTTCATTGGAACTTTCCAGTCTTCTTATGAATTTCAATATCTCCTCTGAAGTTCCCCCAATCTCACTGGCTAGTTTGAAATCTGCCTCTCCTATCCCTGCCTGTTTTTCTCTGCCACTCTAACTTCTCTCCCTAAAGGGCAGACTTATTCTATCCACCTTCTCCTAAGTCGTCCTTTCAGTTCTTTAATTCTTTTACCACAGCGTGTATTCCACACAGGGGCTTAATCTGTGCTCTCTAATCCACTGTGCTGGCCCCCTCGAATTTACCTCCCACCCATTCTCACTTTTTTCTCCCTTTCTCTTTTCCCATTCATCCCTTCTGTTCTACTTCTCTGTCTCTCCCTCTCTACCCCCTCTGTCATTTCTGTGTCTTTCTGTCCCCTCTTCCTTTCTCCCTCCTCCTCCTCCTGCTCCTCTGTCTTTCTCCATCCTGCCCAGCCACCTTTTTCTCCAACTCGCTCTGTTTCTCCCTAACTCTGGGTAACCTGAGCAGGGCGCGAGGCAGTCATGCAGAGCGCAGCAGGGCCTGGTCAGCCTGTAATTAGCAGCTGTCAGAGAGAGGCCGCAACCTGGGTGGTATGGGGGAGGCAGGGAGTGGGAGGGTAGGAGGACAGGGGGAGGAGTGACAGGCTGAGCTAGAACTTTGTCCACAACAATTACAGCAGGACCTGAGCCTCTGCACCCTCAGAATATCTCTTTGAGTGACAGTCACCATTACATTGTTACAAAGAACTGAAAACAACTGTACAACTGTAAAACAACACTTGAATCGTGGTCACAAGTCGTGGTCAAAAGGTTAAGGGATCCTTTTTCAAAATAATTTGTATTATTATGTATATATGTTAAAAAAACAAACTATTGACCGGTATATTGTTATTAGTATCTTTTGACTCTAAAATCTCCATGTTGATATCAGCCTCAAACATGAAACTCTCTCATCTTACTCTCAAAATGAAAGCAAATAAGCATATTAACCAGTATGTTGAGCTATTTCTTTAAGTTTCTCTTAACATGGCATATGCTAACTACTGTCTTACCCTCTGGAGGGTTGGCTGGGTGAGGTCTCATAGTGATACAGCCCCTGGTGTGGCTGCATGTCCACTGGCATTGGAGCCTCGAGACCTGCTGCTCCCCTTACACCCTAGACCTGCCACACAGAGACAAGGACATGGTTAGAGGGAAGAGTGGAGATCCAAAGAAAGCCAACGCAACCAAACAAAACTATACTACACTCGAAAGAAAAGCCAAACAGACAAAAACAATTGTGGTTGGGTAAAAAGGGAATATGTAGGATGTTAATAACAGACCAAACCAAACCAAGCAAAGCAGTCCATGGGCAAAATAATCTTTCTCTGTAGAGGTCTGGTACAAAGCATTACATCCTTAACATAAATAAAAGTGGAAATCAAACAACAAATACATAACTAAGAGTCCTACATTCAAAATCATGTTGTCTTGGTTAAATCATCCAGTTATGTTTTACCTTTTTAATGAAGCTGAGATAAAATAAAGCTTTAAAAAAACCCTCTTCTCTGATGGAGGTTATGTAATGGTACATGATGTGCCCTGACACACTCCTACACATTAGACTAAACTCATTTATTGACTGTAATCTCTTCTCTAAAGAGATTCTTGCAGCCCAAACAAGGTTTAACGGCATTAAAAATGGTAAAAACCATCTTCCCATCCTGGATACTATAGTGATCACTAAAAGACATGAGGATGAACAAATTCTAGGTTTTGGCTTGAAGCTTAAACAACATAGTTGGAGAACACTAGTAATGAAAACAGGTTAAAATGAGAGTAGAACAGAGCAGCCTTTTGTGTGAAGCTCATACTGAGAGACTATCTTTCAGCAAGAGTGTATGTGTAAGGTAATTCTAGCTGAGAGATCATAGGAACAAGCACCTGCTCATTACATCCAGCCACATAAGTGCAAGTACTAATATTTGGAGCTGAGGACTTGTTTAAAGAGATAATTAGGACATAAGAACTACTGTACACACTGTCATCGCTGTCACAAATGGACAAAGGCCAAAAAAATGAGTTTTGAGCTTTTAACAAAAAATGATTGTTTAAATTTTTGTATGTGCTCTATGACAGTGCCTTTATCAATATAACAATGAACTGATAAATATTATTAGTTTTTGAGTCTGATTTCCTGATGCCACATTTTTAGCTCAGCCCTTCAGTCTCTGTCATGTATGGGGAATCACAATATCACATTGCTGCTGTTTAAGTGACAAGTTTTCAAACCCAGTCTGCTAAGGCTGCTCTCTACTGCAGATGAAAGTGCTCTGGTCTGAGTCTAACAGGTTGCCAGGTCTGTTATGTAGCAGCATAAGTGTTAAAAAGGGGCAGTAGGGACCCAGTTATTTGGATTTGGCACGCAAAGTCAGCGAGTGGCTAAATGACATGGGCAGCACGTGACTAATTGCACGTATTCGCCACCCCGCTGAATATGTGTGCAAGGTAATTGGCCAGAAGTGCTAAATAGAGATCTTGTCGAGCACCTCAGCTGTCCAGAGCTAATAAATACCACAAAGGGGGTTCCCAAACAGCCTGACACACACATACAGTGCACCCTCACTAGCATAGCGACACACCTGTCAGTCTTGCTAGAGGGTAGCATAATAATACAGTAGCCACCGAGTCTGCAGAGAATGTGTGTGTGTGTATTTGTGAAAGGTCGAGTCAATATACTGGAAGCAGTTGTACTGTGTAAGTCTAGTGGCAAGTGAGAGGAGGTCTGGAGACAAGTGTATTTGCACTATATATGGTTTTACATTTTGTAAGTATGCACAGATAGATGATTTCATATGTGCATGGTGCTGACACAGGTGTCGTGGCACTGCGCTATTTTAGGTCAACATTTTGTGGGAAACTCTTAGGGAGTTTGCTGCCCAGTGTAATTTTGTGGTGTTGGGTTTGAGAGGGATGGGACAGCAGCATATTAAAAACCCCCAAGGCCATAAATCAAATGGCTAACTAAACAAGTCTGCTCCACTGTGGCGCAGCAAGCTGGGCAGGAACCAAGGAGCTGAGGATGAGGACAGGATGTCCAGCCACTTTTTACACCCAAAACCTCCTCATTCAAACACTCCAAGTATCACCACCCCATACAAATAAATCTCACCTAACAGCCAGGAGCTCTGCATATGCACTGAAGTCGGATGGTATCGTTGATGGTGATATTAGCTGAGCTTACCTCAATTGCTGGTTATTTTTAAGCAAACCCAAGAAGTCCTGAATGTGGTTTATTGTAATACATTTCCATCCTGGCTTACCTACTCACTCACCAAACCAACCAATGAATAAAATATGGTTTTGTATCCTTAATGGACTATTACTCACAGACTGTCAGAAACCCAACCACAAGCCCTGTCGCTCAGCAGAAGTGCACGCTAAAAGCTGATCTGGTCTTGGCTTTTCTGTGAAGGGACTCAAACACTGACCAATGTATCTAACATCTGAAAGATGAAAAACCACATTCTTGTTATGAAAATGAAAATTTGAATCCATAAGCACTAACTTGTCCTTTGGCTAAATTGTTTTTGTGGTATACAAAGAGACATCTTGTTCAGTCTCACACAGTTTGGCCATTTGTGACCTTCCCAGAAAACTCTTGGTCCTCCTCTCTCTGAGGAAATCTCCAGAGAAGACAGACATTTCCACAGGTCACTGGTCATGTCAGACAAAAGGCCTGAGCCTGCCCTGATCCACTCTGCTTCTACATTCCTCTACTCTTGGGTGTAACATTAAACTGGGGCTCACATATGCCTCCCCTACTGGCTCCCCAGCCAGTGTAAAAAGCAGCATTTAATGACAGTCCCTAACCTCTTAACCTCATCTCTCCTCTACTCTCAGATGGGAATGTGAGTATAGTACCGGTGCTTATGTGTGTGTTCTCATTTAATCCTTTACTTAGACAGACACACACAAAACAGCCTAAATACAACTAAACACAATGTCTTCGGAGCATGTTGTGCACTATAAACACCCATCTGAAAGCATTTTCTTTCACCCCCACCCTCTCCCTTGCTCCTCACTTTGCTCCTCTCATTCTGCCTTTTCCATTGCTCTGTATGTCTATCTCGGGCCATCTCCGCTCCCTCTTCTCCCCAGCTGTCTCCACCCTCTCCCTCATTCCCTCTCTCGCTTTCTCTCTAGGCTGATTCCCGCTCCTGCGACCTATCCTTCTCCCCTCCCCCTCCCGGCGGAGCTGCAGTCGAGGTGGGTGTTCTCTGGCTGTTATGACTTGAGAGACGATAATGGCAGCTTTAATGTAGCCAGTCGTTCCTGATGTGGCTGGGCTTGTGGGAGATTCTGTTGTGTCAGGGCTGTAGATGGAGCGAAGGAGGGAGGAGGAATGAAGGCGTGGCCCGGGCCCTCAGCCAACCACAGTCCAGAATCATTTTCATTTTCTTTTTTCTTACTCTCCTCATCCGCCGACTCTTTCTAGCCCAGTTGTTTTCTTTTGGTGGTAAACTTTGTTGTTTAATTCTGGCTTTGTTTTTGTAACCCCTGCCCACTCAACACAGCCCGTCCTCCTTTCCCCGATTCTCTCGCCCAGCTGTGCGCCTTTGTGTTTTTTTACCCATTTTTACCCAAACTTTGAATTCCTCTCAGCTGCTGCAATGTGATGGGGACCAGCAGCGTGGTCACTTAAAGGCCACAGGGCTGGAGACATCACTGTAAACAATAAGCTCGACGTAGTGATCTGCTGCAGGGGAGAAAGATCAGTGTCATATCTACATCACAAAGAGCCGATCTGAGTTTGATTTAAACAGCTTTAATTCCTGCTAATAGATACTGAACAAAAATAATTACTGTGACAAGGAAACAAGTTCCAGAAAATCAGGTAGTTACGCTGTGAAACGATTTAGTGCTATTGTTCATGGACTTTCATTAATACTGTATTGTAATGATATGACTTTAATACAAAACTCTGGATGGATGGATGGATGGATGGATGGACAAAACTCTGTTGTCTGTATTAATGAATCATTATTATTTATTATTGTCTAACAAACCCCCTCTTGACCAGTGGGTAGGAAAGTGACACACTGCCAGTTTAGCAACAATGTCCAATATAAGTCATAACATTTAGTAAGTCCATCACCAAAATGCAGCATTCAGGTTTTGCTTTACACATGTAAGCATTCTAACAGATGTAAAGCACAGCAGTGGAGTTCCTTCTACTTAACATTCATTTGGCTATTTTATATATATTTATGTATGTCTTTTATATATTATTAGTGCAAAGTTGATTTCAAATATATAACCCAGCCCTGTATACAACATAGATATAATTGCCTGTAGTCTCATATACTTAAAAAGAACAGCAATTTTACTGAATTATAAGCAATACTTTGCCTTCTGATTTATGGAGGTTTTTTTCATAAAGCAATTAAACAAACAAAAAACATTCAAAAGTAAGGGAATTCATAAATTTGAAATAAAACTGATATTTTTTTCTAATGTTTTTTCCTCAGCTACTAAGACTAACTATTGGGGGATGCAAAGCGATAATATCAGTAAAATGTAATCCTGTTGACTGAAATGCCCCAAACTTCAAAGATACCTGAAATAAGTGACAGTCCTGGTTTAGCCTCCATCATAGAACAAAAATACCTTTAATGATCTTGTCATTTGGTAGCCATGTTAATGGAAAAAGGAATCCCTGAAGCTCTAATGTTTACTAGACTAGTACTATGGTTTAACTTAGTCAACACTTTCAACCCCACTGATTCACACCTCACACACCCCTGTACAGTAAGCTGAGGAAGCTGTGGTGTTGATGTCTCACGCCTGGGGTTGTCACCTTGCCAGAATGGCAGAATGAAACGTTGATCCCTTGTTGCTACACAGCCAGAGTGACTGATGACAGACATCAGGGCACATGAGGGCTTGAACACTGCACCTCAACATGACTACAAACCGCACATAGAAGTGGGAGCTGATCTCAAGCACAATGAAAAAGAGTAGAGCACACAGAGCGGAAAACAGCAACTTATGAGCCTTTAGTGAAGTTTTTTTAAGAGTTATAACAAGCTGAAAGCCATGTTTTTATTCAACATGATGAAAAGAGCAGCAGAGGTAAAGAAAGTGATGCACATACTGAATGACTGTAAAGACATAGACACA